GGGGGGGGGGGTGGTATTTGTGAAAGACTACAGTAAATGTTGTGTTGCAAATCCAATGGTATGTAATGTACTGTATATACATTATTTAATGTACAGCAAATTAAGACAATTCTTCTAATATTTCTACAAACATTTTATATGTAAAACACATGACAACATTTTTGAACTGGTACTGCTCTGGCTATTACAGATGTGTATATATATTTATATTTTTTTCATGTACAGAATGCTGTACAAAAGCTGTACAATGTTTTGTTTTGTTTTTTAAGTATTGGCCAATCCGTGTTTTTGTTTTCTTTTTTTTATGTTGTTGTAAAAATTCATATTTTTGTATTGCATGTGATTACCATTCTGTACACGCAGTTTGTGTTTTCATCCATGGAAAACAATAAAGTGAGGCTTGTCATGTAAATACAGCTGATACGGTTATTTTGCAGCTGATGGTAAGTTGGTAAAATGTGTTTTCCAGCACAGGTATTCAAAATAACTGGACACTATGCATCATATCAACACGATGGCATCAACTGACCACATCCCAAAGGTGCGCTGTTGCACTGACGTCTGATGAATGTGGAGGCCATCTGGTCAAAATGAAATCACTTTGTTTAAGAAACTAGTTTGAAATGATTTAAGCTTTGTGACATGGTGCTCATTAAGGGGTGGACATGCTCAGGAACAATACTCAGGAAGGCTGTGGTGTTTAAATCATGCTCACATGGAAACCAGAGAGTGCCAGGAAAACATTCTCCACATCGTTACACCATCACCAGCATCATGAACAGTTGATACAAGGTGAGATGGGTGCTTTCATGTTGTTAATCACATATTCAGAAGGCAGCCAATTGCTTGGTCCCAGAGGGCTGGCAGATTTGGAATCGCAGCAACGACAATAAGGAGGGGGGAAAGCAAGACCGGATTAAATATAATATTAAATTACTAAACACTGCTAGTTTAACCTTAACTGTGCGAGAAAGAAGCCTGAATAACGTAACTTCTGCTACCATTAAATTCATTCTTTTGTTTGACATTTGGCATTAACTTGGCTAGCTGTGCATTAAGTCGCCATGTTTCTGTTTGTTCATTTGTTTTTGTGATGTCAGATTTTTTTTTTGTAACGTGGTGATCAGTGCTGGTTGGAAGGACCACCACTGAATTTTTATCTTTGGCCCCAACAGACTGTAGAAACACCACTGCACATTTTTGGCCAGAGAACTGCAGCTTGCTGGATGTTTTCTCTTCATTGGCCCATTCTCTGTAAACCCTGGAGACTGTTGTGTGGGGAAATTCCCAGTAGATCAGCAGGTTCTGAAATACTCAGATCAGCCCATCTGGCACCAACAAACATGCTACTTTCAGTAGAAATGTGAAAGAGATAGAAAACTGTAGAAAGATAAAACATATGATCTAGAGTTCTTCTTCTTCTTCTTCTTCTTTTTTTTTTTGCACTTTCCAAGCTTCAGCACATTCAGTTTAAATTACATGAATATGCTAAATCAAAGCAAGTTTCAATTTTAAATGTGATTTGTTTATGTCAATGTTTGAATTCTTTTAACACAAGCTGCAAGCATTATAAAGTACAGTCTTAGTATCTAAATTATTTGGGTTTCAGTATAAAAATGCAAATAAAAATAATTTGGATATAGTACAAATACAAACTAATAAAATGCTGATAACTTTGAACTGCTGTAGTTTAAAAATGTATGCATACTTGGACTTTTATGCATATTTTATGTGTATACTTTTGAACATCTCTCCTTTATTACAACACTCCATAAACACTTTGGGAAGCTGGTTTAGCTCAGTGAGTGAGCAGGCAAACATATGCCTGGTGGCCGGAGAGCAGTAGGCTTGAGTTCGAGTGCTACCCACGACTCTTTGTTGCTGCATGTCTTCCCCTCTCTCTGTCCCCGTTTTCCTGTCTGGACCAGTTTATTTTTTAAAGAAATATTGAAATATTTTTTCCATTCTTTGTTTGAGACAACATTACTGTTCCAGTTTTCTTTTTTGTGTTTTAATTTCTCTGAGTTAGCTAGGAGAGCGTCGAGTGGCAGTCATAAAATTAATGTCCAAAACAGAGAAAACAAATCCAAACCTATAATAAATTATAGATATTATCTAATCAAAAATAAACTTCCATGGTTATTATAGGTGAACATTATAGATGCAAGCCAAGAGCAGGCTGAGCACAATCCCATTTTTCCTCTAGGTGGCATAACGACCCAAAAGAAAGTGTTTGCCATCTTTCCTTTTATGGTAAAGACATGATGAGGCACTGCTTCTTTTTTAATGGTTTTGCACATTTTACATTAACTTTTGTCAAATATGTAGTACCTTGATGGGAAACATGTAAACGGTGTGTCTTAAATTTTAAGCTAACTTCCTCAGTTTGTACAAATTTGACATGTCAAGAATAAACTGCTTAGAATTTGCCAAAGATGGTGCTACTTTTAACCTCAAAAAGACAAATTTTTGGCTACGAGTTGAGAATTCATTTCATACAAATGTCTAATAGGTTTAAAAAATGTGGGGCAGTGACATTAATGAGCACATAAGCTCAAAGGTTAACTTCACTGTGTGATCATAATATTCTGCAAACACTCATTTATTAGTTTTCAATTTCATACCTTGGTAGCAGATGAGAGAGGGTGGCCAGGTTTTGCATTTGGTCTCACTCTGAAACAGTGACAATAATCGAAAGGCTCACTATGAGTCGGTAAACACAAGAGCTTGAATGGTTGTAGCTGGAGGTATATAAATAAAAGGAAGCAATTCCAGTTTCCCTATTTTGGTTAGGAAGCTTTTCTGTGACCTTCAGTCAAGTTTACGAAGCCTCGGAAGGTGCCTTGATAATGAGCGCTTGTGCTTGCGTTTGGTCTTTGAAATGTTTTATCTGAAGAAGAAAGAAGAATGGTGAATTGATTTCTGTATACTGGCATCAATGGCAAAGAGAGGACCTTGTATATTCTACTGCAGCTAAAAAGCTCTTTGACTCCAACTGGTACTGGGTCACATGACCAGCGTTTAGTGAGGGAAAACTGTTTCCATTACTGCAAGGTCAGCTACAGAATGACAATTAGTCATTTGTTTGATTTTGTTACCAAATTAGCAAGCTGAAAATGTACCAGCATTACATGTGCAACCAGTGGTATGTGTTATGCCAGGCATGTTCAAATCAAACCCAGAAATCACACAAAAAGCCTTCACACACACATAGCCACAATTTGGTTTTGAAACAGAGGGCAAGGTGAGAACACAACAGAGATAGTGAGAGAGCTTTCTCGTGGTCATTCTAACATTTGCTGAGTGCACCACTACAACTGTCAACCATCAATTGATGACCTTGGGACTCTCCTTAATGAAGCTGTCCACCAACACAGCCAGCAAGCTGGTTATTTATAGAAGTGAAGGTACTGAAAGAGAAAAAAAAAGGGGAAAGAAAGTGGGGCAGCTGGACACATGCAAAACATCTACAACAAACACACCATGATCTTACTAACAAATGGGGACTTTCCGTCATTCAGTGAAAGGTGAGGGGGTTTTGAGATGAAGTCATCCTCTTTCCTTTTGTTCTCAGTTCCCCTCATACATATTTAGCCTTATCATCCTTCTCATGTTTATTAGATTAAGTCAGCTTTTAGGGCTCAAAGAGAATTAATACTCTTTGTCAGAATATTTGGCCACCGCCAGTCTGAGGACCAAGCAAATAAAGGACTATAGATGGTAGATTATAGCAGCATGACAGGTTGTGATGTTGCCTTTAATACCTTTAATTTTGCTTTTGTCATTTTTTTTATTACCAGTTTTTACTGTCTGGTGTTGTTTTCATGCTCGTGATAATTAAATTGTCTGCAGCACAGCAGGTTAAGCAGCAGGGGGTCCAAACTTTTCTGTCTCTGCTTCACCGCCTGCAGAAAACATCCAGTTTATCTGCAACATCTTACCAAATTAAACATTCCCCTCTAAAGCTGAAAGTTATGAGTGCAGGTGCAGACTGCCTAAATAGCCAGAAATCACATGGGAAACTCAGCATACAGTAAGAGAGGAAAATAAAAGGGGAAGTTGATAAAATAACTCGATTTTTAATGCAAATTTTTTTTTTTCCTTTTTTTCTTTTTTGCTGTTGGTGAA